GCAGAGCACAGCGGCGGTCACGGGGAGTGTGAGGGAAGGCCTGTGGCTGAGTGCAGTGCTGGGTGCATTTGTCGTCAAGGCAGCATCCAGGGAGGACCCCGTGATGCTGCCAGGGGAACACCCTAGCTGGGAAGGGGTGGAGGTGCTGGGCAGGGTGCCGTCATGCTCTTGAACAAGGCCAGCTTCCTGGTAGGCTGCGAATCCTATTGGAGCGAGCTCGGCATAGAATCTAGACACTTGAATCTCGTTTATCTCACAATGGAGTACTTTGCAGCTGTCACTCTGCGGTGGCTTTTATCTAGGCATCTGGAGGCTGATACCAGATCTGTAGCAGTTGTTTACTGTGCAGATTATAGGAAGTATGGAGCACGTATCTCCACACACACAGAAGGGGAGAACGTGAGCCGGCATGCGGGGAGGATTAGCAAAAGTGATGAAGACCTATTACTCAGTTACAAGACAGACGACTTCGTTTCTGGGAGATAACACTTTGTAAGCTATGATGGCAGAAAGATAAGTCCAGCTAATTCAATAATTTAAAATAGAAATGAATCTCTATTCCTAATGTGTATCCCAAGTAGATTCATTTCTGTTGGAAGATGAAAGCTCATCCTCTAGCTAATTACTAGGGCCTCTGACTTTGTAGCAGAGCAATTCCCAGCAACATCTGGTTTGTTCCTGCTGGCTGGCTGGGGCTGCAGGGACCACATAGAAAGATGGTCATGAGGGAAGAGAAGCTCTCAATAAAATACTTAGCAAAAAGTGGTTTTTAAAACCCCCTGTAGGTCTGTTATAGTGGCAATTACTAAATTGAGTAACAAAGTCAAGATTTTGTATATGTTTGGGAATAAGTAAAAACGGCAGGAGCTTTTCTTGGTAGCTGCCAGCAAAAGGCTGCAAGGAGAAGAAGGCCTGGGGGTGTCACCCTGGCTTTGGAGGAGGTTGCAATAAGGCAGTACCCCTACCTGGGCCTTACATGAGAACTCGAGAACCTCTTCTGGACGAGGCACACATCGCTTCATCCCAGCAGTCAGTGTGAATGAGGCAACTCGGGTCCTCCCCTAGACATTTCCCCTGGCCTAGGACTTGAGGTTTTGATCAACTGGATGACACAAATGCCCAGGAAGGAGTGGGTACACACTGAGCTGTTATTAGTCATTTATTCCTGCATGCGAATGAGCCTGTGAAACCCGTTCTGAGAATGGGATTAGACAGCAGGAAGTGGGGAGAGAACATTCGGGCACCGAGGGTGGAGAAAAACGGAATAGAAAGGTGAGCGAACTGCTGAAGATTAACTCCATCCACTTTGGCTGCTTAGAGCAGATGCTTTCCTTAGCCATCAGTGGGCGAGCAGGGCTCCCCCATCTGTAGATTGGCAGCCTCCTTTCTTTCCCAATTGAGACGGTCACCAGATAGCACACGCCCACAGGGATGCCCACGGGAGCCTGCCCAGACTCTTTCTAATAATACCATCTATTTATATACTCCTGCCAGCTCGAGGAAGCAATCTCTAATGCTGGCTGATGTTCTAGGAATCGGTCAGCTGTCCCTCCACACCCTCCCCATTTCCTGCCCGGCTTTTGAGCACCCATCTCCCTGGTGTCAAAGCACCTCTGGGGATACCGACTTCAAACCTTGCCTCTGGTGCCTCTGGGGTTTGGCAGGAAAACTCTCCTGGTTTGGTCTTCATCTCTCTTGTTCCCCTCTGCTGGTAGTCTTCCCAGATCTCCTGTTAGCTGAGGGCTGATTACCCTTCCTAGCCTCCTGACCCCCATTCCCACATCGGTCCCTTCCAGCCCATTTCCCACACATCAGCCAGAGTGATCTGTTTGAAACCTAAAGCAGAGCATGTCACCCTCCTGCCTTGAACCTCCTCAGTTGCTTGCACCACACTAGAAGTGAATTCTGAAGTCCTCGCCATGGCCTAGAAGCCCCTGCACGACCTGGCTGTGCTCCCCCTCCAGCCTTGTGCTGCTTGCTCTCCCCTGCTCATACCAGGCCTCCTCTTGGTGTAAAAGTACCAAGCAAGCTTTCTTCTGTGCAGAACTTTGCACAGAATTGTTCCTGTGCCTGAAATACTCCCCTGTCCTTCCCCTCACCCCCAACTTTTGCTAAGACAGATTCTCCTCATCCTTCAGGTTCTAGCTTAAATGCCACCTCCCAAGAGAGAACTTTTTGACCACCCAGTATAAAATAATTTGTAATTACTGAGTCGCTTGTTTGATTACTGGCTTGTTATCTATTCTTCTATCTGAGCTGCTCACCAGTATATCCCAGCACCATGCTTGGCACACTGTAGGGCCTTGTATCCGTCAGAGCAGGCTAAGCTACACTGCGGTAACGAACAGCTCCCAAACCTTAGTGTCTTCAAACCACAAAGGTTTATTTCTCAGTCATGCCAAATGTCCATCACAGTTTGGCAGGGGGCCGTGCTCATTGTAGGATCCCAGGCTGATGGAGCAGCCACCCTCCCAAACATTCCCAGTGGCTGTACCAGGGACAAGAGAGACCTGGAGGATCTTGCATTGGTGATTAAATTCTCCAGCCCAGAAATGATTTATGTGTCATTTCTGCTCACAGGTCATTGGTTAGAGCTAGTCACGTGGCTCCACCCAAGGACAGAGCTAGAAAGTTCACTCCTACCCGGTACCCAGAAGAAAGAAATAGAAATACTTGTCGAACAGTACTAAAGACTCACACAGTACTCTATAAGTACTTTTGAGGAGGGAGTGCCTAGAATATTCTTTCTACAGCTGCAGTGGGTTAGAGGGACCTTGTATTCCTGCTGCTGCCCTTGCTCTGCTGGGAATCAGAGTTCTGGCAGGAGATGCTTAGCAGACAGGAGATCCCCTGACACCTGGCATGAGCCATCCCAGGGGCAGTCGAGGCTAGTGGCCTCCCCTTGCCTTTCCCTCAGTGAGACACATTTCTGTACTGGTGTCCTGTGCGAGACAGCCCCTCCAAAAGGGTCCTGCCACTCCTTTCTGAATCTACTACACTCAGCTCAGGGCGGGCACGTCCAGGGGCTGAGCAGATGATTTTGCTGGTGAAGTCCCAGTAGGATCCCTCAGAGCTCTAGGGGCTGAGGCAGGAAGCAGAGAACGAATGCAGCATTTCTTAGCCTGGTGCATCCTGTTACTAATGCGAGAGAATGGCGGTTATGCACCCCAGGAAAAGTGGGAAAACTTCCTGTGACTGCTGTGGGTCCTGGGGGGAAGAGGGTGGGAAGAAGTGAGGAGAGGAAAATCCTGGTCTGGCCTGGATTCCTGACCCTGTTCCCTGAACCACGGTACTCATTTCACTTGGGTAGGTGCTGCAGGTAGCTCTCCTGTCTACACCTGCATTTGACAAAGGGTAGCACCACAGCAGGCCCTTTCCAAGGCTGTACACAGTCACACTGATACTGATGGGCCTTGGGAGGAAAGGCTGTGCCAGGTTGGTTATAGCATGCTTGAGTGTACATGATGGCCTCTGGTGGCAATCACAACGTAAGCTCATGTTCATACAGCATTCACCAAGTTCCTAGCACTGAGCTCTACACACCTACAGTGTGGCGGTAGACAGTTGGGGAAACTGAGACCCATACAGGTTAAGTAGTTTCCTAATTAGGTAACTGCTAGTTACATGGTAGAGCCCTCCTTTGAGCCTATGCTTCCTGACTCCAAATATGTACACTTGATTGTTACTCCACAGGAAAAGGTTTGGGTCTGATTCCTCTTCTAGATTATAAATACTACAGAGCTTCCTCTTTGAGAAGCCTCCTGCTGCTTCTCCCTTATAGTACCTAACAGAGTTTCTGTTCTATCCTTAGCAGTCACTAAAAGTTTTTAATGTGTATGAGAAAGGTGAAAACAGATTACTTAGGATAGTAGATAACACTAGGATATTCTGGTTACATGTTTTTTGTTAAGCCTGTCACTTAAGATTAAAGTAAAGATTCCATGCTTGTTCCTCTAAATGTTGATGGAAGGGCTGGATCTGGTAGTTGCTCATACACAGCAATCTAATCAAGCCACAAAGCCTCTAATATAATACACATGTATCCTAACATAATTATCAACAACGGAAGAATTAATTACACGTGCTAGCGGCTATGGATATCACACTGCAGAGATCGTTCCCTTCCTGAGAGATTAGAGAGGAGGACATTTAAACTATTAACTGTGATACAGTGTGACGTGCTGTGAGGTTTGTGTAGGGGTCAGTCGGGCCACAAAACCTGTGGAGGCGGAGGTAGTTGGGATTCAGCTCTAGAAGGGAGCGGTTAGTTAGGAAAATCAACCAGAGGTGAAGCCCTATTTGGATACAAAATTATGAGTTCCCGGGCCGGGCCGTGGAAGGTGATGGCGGGGACAGTTCGTGGGAGAAAACCTGTTGGTCCATTGCACTTCCTGCTTCGAGGCTATGGCCGGGGTAGGATTCTGGCGCTTCTGCGTGACCCGGGTCCTCTTACAGCTAGGCATTGGTTAAGTAACTCCATTACTGCTAATGGGGTGTCATCAGCTAACTAGTGGTGGCGGCAGGTGGAGGTCCCGCCCCAGGAGTCCCTGGCCGGAGTTCCCACACCCGCGCGCACACTTTGCACCCTGTAATTTTTCTTGGTTTCTGTACCTCCGGTCTGTCCTTCCCTTTTGCTTTCCACCACTTTGGCCTGGCCCCGGCCTAAATCCCACCGCCCGAGCGCGGCTCTACTGGCCGGCGCCAGCGTCCAGGGACCGGGTCCCAGCTCGTCCGCCGCAGCAGCGGTCACGAGCAGCGTGTCCGGCCGGGAAAAGGAGGAAATGGAGTTCGGCCCCGCCCCTCCCTCCTGAGGCGGCTTCTCATTGGCCAAGCTTCATCCCCAGCCGCCCGCGGCTTGGAATATCAGCTTCGGATTGGCTGGTGGGCCCTCAATGGGCGTGGCCTCCGGGGAGGGAGGGCAAGAACGGAAGGGAGGGCGCGCTCTCGAGAGGAGGGGTTGCCTGGCGACGCCGGGGCCGCGCTCGGGGGTGGGGAAGAGAGCCCGGGCTGTTCAATGACAAATCGGCGGAGGACGGCTGGGGTCCGGCAGGGGGCGGGGTGCGTTTGAGAGCGGCGGCCGAGTGCGGACGGCTGCGGCGCGGGACCCAGGTAAGGCAGCCGCGCCGGCGGCCCCGCGGGGCGGGCGAGGCGCGGGCCGGGGAAGTGGGGAGCGCCGCCCTGCGCTCGGTGGCCTCCTGCCCCTGCGCTCCCCGCGCCGGGCTGTGGCCGGGCAGCGGCCGGACACGTCGCACCCTCGGGTCAGCAGAGGGCGACGCCCGGGCAGCGGCGCAGCTCAGCTCCTGGAGGTACCGGGAGCGCCGAGCCGCCCGGGTCGGGCCGGGGCTGAGGAAATGGGGGCGGTGCCCCAGCCTCTCCCTTGTGGCTCCTTCCCTGTTCCCACAAATGGCTCTGTTTCCACTTCCTGCGCTTTCGGGCCTCCCGCCCGAAGATGGTCCACTTCCTCAGTCCCCTGGTTGCCGCTGTGGGCAGAGTGAGAGCTATAAAGTGTTGCAAAAACTTGTTACCGTAGGAACTTGTACTTGTGGGGAACTGGGGCTGTGTCCCAAAAGTTTTTTGGTTTCTTTGTTTCGGGTCCCGTTTTGCAGAAGAGCATGAAGTTGTCCCCGCCCCTCTTCCTTTCGGATGGAGGCTAGCGGGGACCGTGGCTTCTAATGGGAAGCACCGAGGACTTTTAACTGTTTGCCTCGACCAGGCGTCAACACGTCTGTTCTTGGCCCTCTTATAGGGATATAGGGTTATGTGTGGTTGGCTCAAGACTGCTGGTCGCAGAGACAGCTGCGCCCAGATTGCTTGTTTGAGCCGTGTTCTCTCTGTGCTCATTTTCAGGTGAATACTAGAAACGTTGAAACTTTGATGTTACCAGGTGAGTTCTGGGGAGAAGCTTTCATGTCTGGTGGACAGAGTTAGAATTGTCAATGGAAGAGAATTAACTGATTGTTCATTTGAGTTATCTGTGACTTGACTTCAGCCCTTGTAGAACAGTGAACTTTCTGCTCTGTCCTAGTTTCCTAACCTCATTTCTTGTTAAGTTTTGGGGATGGGTAGTGGGCTCCAGTTATCTGAAGGGATACCATATCTTTTAGATGTGTAAATGACCAATGTTCTAAGCAGAGCAACAAGATTCTTGGATGTCAAAGCTCAGAACAGGTCAAGGCAGTGTTCCTTAAACCTGGAGCAATAGAAGCACAATATCAAAGTTCCGGGAAATGGAGTGACCACGAAAGGTGGCATTGAATATTGGGAAGAACAGGAGGGTTGGGTTTGAAGACCTAGGTTTGATGCTGGTTCTGAAACTTCACCGGTGGTGTGATCTTGAACGTGGTTTTTCACCTCTCTGAGCTCCACAGTCAACTAAGGTGATAACGGTTATCCTAATTGTGAGGCTTAGACGAAATAAGGACTGTTAAAGGTGTTTTTTTGTGGCATGGGTGTAGGAAGAAGGCCAGGGACACACATCCTTTGCGTGTGGTTTTAGTTGGGTCAGCTAGTCTGCTTTATTCTGGCCACATCTGGGTCTCTCCTTCGTTTTCTATTCACATTATTTGCCATCGGAAACAGTGGGTACTCTTATCAGAGATCTCAACAAGACTTCTGTGTGCCTGAGGAGGAGAACAATTTCCCAGGACTTTGTGTGGAAAAAAGCATGAGTTATAAATTATTAAATAGCTTTTGGGAATATGGAACCTAGACACATAAAGATAGGAAAACAGGAATTAGAGCCTTACATGGGATCTGAAGAGGTCTTGGTAGAAGGCAGAAGGAGTGGAAAAGTTCTAAATTTTTGCCTTGAAATTCTTCAAGGGTTTTTGCCTTCACTGAAGATTGCTCGATACCCCATGAAAATTTTAAGCCTGAGGATTGAGATAATCCTTTGTACCATGTCACCCAATCCCACTATGCCTCTTTGCATTTAGTTACTAAATTCTTACCCACTCCTCTAATTTATGGAAGCTGGAAACATCATTAGAGACCTTTCCTGAAAGCTTTCCTGAAAGCTAAATTTGGAGACAATATATTAACAGCCTACAACTACAGGGTTGGAAGAGATCTTTGTGAACTCTTGGAAAGTTTCCATTGTAACTTGTCTCAAGTTGATATACAAGAGTCCCACTTTTCATTGGCTCCAATTACTTCTAAACAGCCCCTGCTGTTAGAAGTGCAAGGCACTTGGATTTTTTAAAAAAATGAATGCATGTTGTTGAGAAGTCTGAATGTGAGATCAAAGAGAACATAGAAGCAGTGAAAAGGGAACTCCTCCCTAATCACATGGGGGGTGGGCAAGGGGAAGGAGGCAAACTAATACTTACTGGGCATCAGTTATCTGCTTGGCACAGACCCACTGATCTAATCCATAGCAGATAAATACCTGGCCTTGGAGATTTGACCATGAGCTGTCTCCTTTAGCTCCTCAGTTCTTTTGGTACCTAGGATTATAAATATCGGTGTATATGTGCATATATTCCTAGATGTTCCAAAGAGTAGAGGGGCCAGTAGGCAGAAGGGCCTATGAACTTTTGGATGGGCGAGAGTGGGAAAAAAGATGAAGAGAACGTGGAACCTGAGTATCAAAGAGCCAATGTATGTGCGGTTACTACAGCAACTGCAAAATACCAGCCAGGTCTCAATTTCAAGTTTATGTCACTTAAAAAAAAAAAGCAAGTGCTTATAATTTTTTTGAGTGTTCTCAGGATAATTAAAATTAATTGAAATCTAAATGTAGAAAAAGGTGCTCTTAATTGATAATTGCTAGTATTGTCATTGTTGCTTTTGTCAATGCTTTGTGGGTGATTTATAGGTAGTATATTTTTTGACCAACTAGATTGGGAAATACTAGGTTAGGAACGTGGGAAAAACCAGGTTAGGCCTAATCTAAATTAAAATATTCTAAGTAAAACGTAATTTTACTGAGTATATGGCATGAGTTGAAGGAAATATAGTAGTTTGGTCCTGCCTCTAAAGTTTGTTTGCCTTTTGCATGAGTTTTCCATTGCTGCATAACAGATTTGCCCCAAAACAACAGACATTTATGATCTCACACAGTTTCTGAAGTTTAAGAATCTGGCAACAGCTTGGCTGGGTGCTTCTGGCTTAGGATCTCTCCTGAGGTTGCAGTCATTGGAAGGCTTGACTGGGGCTGGAGGATCTGCTTCCAAGATGGTGACTCACATGCTGTTGTCCCGAGGCCTCAGTTCTGCACCTCATGGGCCTCTCTATAGGGCTCTTCACGACACAGCAGTTAACTTTCTCTCCACAGCGAGTGATCAGAGAGAGAGAGAAAAAATGTTAATGATCAAGGTTGAAACTATAGTATCTTGGTATCTAATCTTGGAAGTGAGATACTGTCACTTCTGCCGGTACACAGACCAAACCTGGTACAGTGTGGGGAGGGACTACATGAGGAGAGATTGGGGGCCATGGCATTCTTGGAGGCTAGCTACCGCAATTTTTTTTTAAGGTTTAGACCAGACATTATTGAGAAAATCTTTGTTTCAGGTGCACCCTAAAGTATGTGGTACTGAGATTAAAACACAGCTGGAGTTTTTACTATTTTAGAAACTTTTAATATCATACTTGAAACTTTATGTTCTTTCTTCTGGTTCTTCATTATCAGATGCTAGAATTAATCAGCCAAATGTGCAGTAGCTGTGGAAATTAGAAATTTAAATCTTGCTGGTCCCTAAACCAAATGGAACAGTTGAGTTTTTTTAACCCTGAAACAAGTTGGCAAAAAATTATTGCCAAAATGATCTTCTTGATGAATGGCTTAAAATTAGTCATTAATTATCTGTGTATTCTTAAAAATAAAACTCATTGGCAAAATAGCCAAAAAATTTTGGAGAGCTTAAACCTTGTCTCCCTCTCCCCACTATTTTTAGTCTTTGGGTAGTGTTTATATGCCTAGCAGTTCTTCACTTCTCTTTTGAAACCATCTACATTTTAATTATCCACCTGCATAGAAGGGCTTTTATTCTTTTAATCTCTAGGTGAAACCTTTCTGATATGTCTACAGGTAGAAAGAAGAGCTTAGGAATCCTGAGCGTGAAGCCTGGCGACATGACCTGTTAAGTTTCCTTCCCTCTCTGAAAGTTCTGTGATTATAATATTTTTACATAACAGATATTCCTTGAATCAAGCATATTTATAACAAAAAATTTCATTAATCATGTTAAATTGCAACCTCAGAGGACAAAGTCTTCTGAGAATCACTTTTGTTCATCCCAACCCAGTTGAAGGTTATTAGAGTTACCATTAGGCAGAGCTGAAAAGTCAGCACAATGTGCGCTTCCTCTGCTTCCTATTTTTTGGCTGTTTTCCCATCCTCTGCCCTGATTTATGAACTAGTGTCTTTCTTTTCTTTTATCCTGCCTTTCCCATAATCCCCCTTCTTCCTTCCACAGGAAGGACTGGTGGCCAGTCATTTATTGTTGATTAGCTGATCCTATTGTTAGGAATGAATTTTAGACAATGCTGTACTTCTAGTAATACTTGCATATTAAGCCTTTTTAAAATCTCAAATTATATCTGTTCATTCAGTAAATGATGCCATTTTTTAATGTCCTAACTAGGTCTAAAATCTAGCCACTTTCCTCATGTGCATTGTCATCCCCATGGCCCAAGCCACCACGTCCCTGGCCTGCTGCATCACTCACATCTGCTCTTAGCCCCTCTGTTTTTCCACTTTGTAGCCAGAATGATCTTTTCAACATGCAGGTCTAATTATGTCACTCATGTGCTTAAAACACTTCAGTGACTTTCCAGTGCTTTCACTAGATGGTCTGAAATCTCTAAGCCTGGCCTACGGGGTCTTGAAGGATCTGGCCCTTACTTACCTCTCTAGTGTCATCTCGTACCAGGCTCTGCCTCTTTCTCTCTGCTGCTGACAGCCACAATGGTTTTCTTCAGTTTCTTGACTGTACCTTGCTCCCTCTTGGTTCAGATCTTCCCAAAGCAATATGAGAAGAGAGGAGAGCATGTGAAAGGAATCCTAGGTAGGAAAGCACTTGGCATATTCATGGGACTGCAAGAAAGCATCTTGTGGGGCCTGTTGAGGGGAAGGTTTGGCTTCTATTCATGTTGAGCTGTTAAAG